CAGTAATATTATTCTGCAATCTGTCTTGGGAGAATGCTTAAAAGCTTTCTCTCATTTTGTCCATTTAACTCATGTATTATCTGAGTTTTTACATTAAATGGCCATACTTAATATCCCATGACATGTCACCTATTTTCTAGGGAGGATACTGATACAGTACTTACCAAATCCAGAATCTATACTAATCAAATTACACCTGCCCACCTCAGCCAAGAGCAGTTAGTTCAGTGCATCAGCATTTAATCTGTAGGAAGAACTTATGAGGAGGAACAAAAACAATGAGAACTGTAGTTGGCTAAATGTAGTCATGGTTAATGCAATTTATTTTGTGAGGAGGGATTAGAAGCTATTGAAATCAAACTGAGGCATGGGGTCCATTTAGATACAGATTTGTTGCCAGAACTCAGCTTATATTGGTTGCACATTTATAAAGACAAGGCCTAATCTGGGAAATATTTATGCAATTTCAGTTATGCACTTTGTTCATTCTGCAGAATGAGACCTCTTGGCTGTAAAATTAAATGGGTGTGCAAAAGCAACAAATCTTAACAGACTTCAAGAGAGTTCAGGTGAAGTGTAGATAACAATCATCCTTTTGCATTGAAAGACTGCACAGAAGTCTCAAATACTTACTCTAAACCCCTTTCACAGTCAGGTTAATGTACTCAAAATTTTAAGACTTGAAATGCCAGCTGCTGAACACAAAATCCTACTTTGGAACCAGTGCCAAGGCATTTAATCTGTTTGACTTAGACATTTTCCCTAAAAATACTGGCTATACTTAAATCTTATTTGTTGCTTGATTCAGTCAATGCCATGGTGTAACTGACTTCTGTGTTAAAGAATAAAATACTGCATTTACCTAACAGTTTGAAAATTTAATGTTTCAAGGGAAACAGGTGTCCATTTACGTGGACACCTAGCTTATGATATCCCATCTACTCTGCATATCAGAACTTCAGACAAAGTTAATGCAACAAACATCCAGAATTAATCTGCTCAGCCACACAAAAAGAATGGCAAGGTAGAGAAGCAATGGTATAATTAGGCCCCAGCCTTATTAACTCATAGGACAATAAATTGTATCTTCCCCATTATTCATTCCTCAGTCCATTTTTAAGCTCTTTGGGAATTGGATATTCCTGCCTGAATACTTGCAGCTGTCAGTGGAAGGGACTTTCAGTTAACCATATAAAAGTGCAGGAAAAGGTCCTAAACAGGCAAGGATATCAGTATTTTTGTGAATTGTGAAAGGGAATGTGCATAATAACATATAAGCAAATGGCTTTTATTGCTTTTGCTAGCAGAATGGCACTCCTTGGGGCCTGTCCTAACTCCTGCCTGCACCAGCATGTTGGCAACAATCGTAAGGAATGTCTTGTACTAATGTACATTAGGTGGGGGGAAAAAACAGAAGCAAACTCAGTTCTGTGTTTAAAAGTAAAGAAATTAACATAGAAACCTCTCATGCTTTGTTTTGCCACTGTTCCCTCCATTGTGTGAACCTGCCAGCCTTGCTTTTCTAACACTTCACAAGATGTCAGAAGCTCTTGGCACATAGAGCTGGTGATACAGGCAACATCAAATCTTGGCTCCTTACCCTTTCCCAGGCTAGGTTTTTGTTTTCACCTGGGCACAAAATTCAACCAAAATGATTTTGATTTCCTCCAGCACTAGCAAGGACAGCACTGAATAGACACAGCACCCTTCTCTTTGTAGTCTGACTATGATTTGCAGAGGTGAGCAAGTTTCCTTTTTTGTGACCCTGGAAGCTCAGTACGTGATTTATAAGTCCTCAGAAGGCTGTAGCAAGATCAAAGTATAAAGTTTAGTGAATATGGACAGCTGATTGTATTGGGCATCCCAAATCCATCTGCAGGGTCTCTTGTGGGCTATGGAAAGGCTTTTTCATCGTGCCTGAGGGTGGTGGGACCTGCCACCAGCCTTTTCCCAACACTTTGCTGAACCAATGCAGAGCCTCAAATCACAAAAATACATGTCTTCTGCTTCTAAATTACCCTGTAATTAGTCATTTTATAGGTTTTTTTTAACATACAGTTTGTTACATTTATGGGGTATTAGTATAACTAAGAATACAAAAAGGAAATAATGCTTCCTTATTGCCATGTTAAAAGTTAAAATGCAGAATAAAGGGATAAGGAACTCTGGGCAAAAGTTCTTAGGAAAAGGAATATTGGTTTTCTTTGACTATGTTTTTTTTTTAATTCAATAGAAATAAACAGTTACCATGGCAACTGTCATATCACAGGCAAGGCAAGGAGCAAGGAAGATGCAGTGCACTTACCAATTAGTAGAATGAGTTTTAGGACTTTTAAAGAGACATTTTGCCTGCTGACATTAAGATACATTGCAACTTGGCCTCCAAGGGAAGTTAGAGTTTACTCCTGTACATCCTTTTGGCAGCTGCATTAGCCATTGCTTCTTGATGCTGGACCCCTCTTTGTGGAGCCCTCCCCTGTGGAGGTTCTCACTGCTCCAT